AGACCCCCTGTTGAAAACCTCTGCTCTAAGGTTTGAGGCTCCAATGTGATAATCTCCATACTTTACCATACTTTTATTACAAAGAATCGCTTTGCAAGCTATAACTAGAGTTCATTCAAGAAAAAATAAGCTTGTTAACGATTATTTTCTCATACCAGGAAGAACACATCCTAGAACCTCAGCCCTGAGGCAGATGTCTCCCTGTGTGCCATTCTGATACCACGTCTGTGGGTTGATTCGAATGTAGCGTGCCACTGTGGGAGTGTCAAAGAGGGCGAGGACGGGAGTTTCTGGGTCTTGGTTTCCTTCAAATATCTGCAGGAAGAGGAATGCTGGATATTGGTCACACTAAAGGCAAGCATGGAAACTAGAAAAGCTTGTAAAAAGACAAAAAAAAAACCCTAATGTTGACTCACAGCCTCTTTGCTCCCGTTCATGCAAGGCTTCCAGAGCAGTGTGTCATTGCTGAACTGCACTTTGTAGGTATGCACCATATCCCAACTGCATTTAAACCAGTAGTAATATCAATAAAAAAAGGGTTTTCAAGAAAAAAACTTTATGCATTTCAAACATATCACAAAAACATGTAAGGACGCCCTGATCTCTACCTATTTCATGTATTTTTCATGTCAACACTGACCTCCAGATGGAGTTGCGTCCCTGAAGGATGACCCCAATAAACCGGGTCAGCCTTTGGGCATCAACCTCCAGCCATTGCTTCTTGTCTTTGTACCGAGCACACCAGGCCCCATCGTAGATATCCCCATCCTCTATTCCAGACTGCGACAAAAGAACAGCAATAATGTTAGACGGGGTTTCAATCTGTAGGTAGAAGATGAACAAATGTGATGTTTACCTGGATGTTGAGTCGGCCTCTGTGAGGTCCCAGGCCTCGTCGCTTGTAGGACGAAGCCCTCAGCTGAGAGTCTTTCACCTTCAGTGACTCCAGACCCAGAGGGGGACATTCTGACACGGTTAATATTATTTCAATGTATGATTTGCCTTCTTAACATGGCATGAGAAGATACAATAGGAAAGCAGGTGCATGCAGAGTTCCAGGTCCAGAAGTCTGATCCACTTCATCATAGGCAGTATTTTTATTACTATGCCATTAATAACTAAAAGCAATATTAATATGTGGAGCTCACAAAATCTAAAGTAGCAGCTTGTCTTTATGGTCTCCCATTAGTTTTAGCTGGTCGTTTTCAAAGAATAGGTCTTTTTTTTAAACATAGATTCTTTTTTTATTGATAGAAGGTATATTATATGTTGCATTAAAATTGTATGGGATATCTTTGTGCCTTAAGATGGTGACACAGAGATTTTGAATGCTGCTTGGAGAATTTGATGGTGTCTGATATTGTTCATAGTTAAAGGTTTCCTTCTTGTATCTATTATAATTTGGAAAACAATGAAAAAAGAAAGTTTTTAAACCTAAATAGGGGGTTTAAAGCAGGTTTACTAGAGATACTTTGCATGATTCAAACATATGTTATAGAACTTATAAACAAAAAGTGTTAATAACTAAGAGTTGAGGGATTAATTCTGTAAAATACAGGTATTTAATATTTATTTTCCCTTTTGGATCAATAAAGTACTTTTAAATTGAATGAATCCTGTAAGTTACATAATTATATGTGGAATAGTATAAGTAGTATTGAATAAATCACCTTGCCTAAAATTGAGGAAAATTAGATCTAACAGTTACATCTAATATAGGATATTATAACAGAGTGTTATATTTAGTAATAACAAAGAAGCAGACATTAAGTGTTTTTTTGTATTTAAGCACACTTGTAAACTTTTTAACAGAATATCTTCTGTGGCACCATTTGTTGATCCTGGTATGCAGTTTTTGAAGAATGCACATTTTTATTCCTTCTATTGTACATTGTTATTATCTGCTGTCGATACACCTACAGTAAAGTTTCACACTGAAGAGCAATATAGAATTATTCTATACAAGTCTTGGCAGCAACCTGGTACATTTTAGGCCATTTTAATCCATTTTAAAAGCCGTTGTTCTACAGTGTGAATTAAGTTATAAAAACAAATCATAAAAGAGCTGATAATTTTCCCTACAATTTGACCCAAAAGCTTTAGACTGATATATATATACAGTGGTGTGAAAAAGTGTTTGCCCCCTTCCTCATTTCCTGTTTTTTTGCGTGTTTGTCACACTTAAGTGTTTCGGAACATCAAACCAATTTAAACAATAGTCAAGGAAAACACAAGTAAACACAAAATGCAATTTGTAAATGAAGGTGTTTATTATTAAAGGAGAAAAAAAATCCAAACCATCATGGCCCTGTGTGAAAAAGTGATTGCCCCCTTGTTAAAATATACTATAACTGTGGTTTTTAACACCTGAGTTCAATTTCTCTAGCCACACCCAGGCCTGATTATTGCCACACCTATTTTTAATCAAGAAATCACTTAAATAGGAGCTGCCTGACACAGTAAAGTCCACCAAAAGATCCATAAAAGCTACCCATCATGCCGAGATCCAAAGAAATTCAGGAGCAATTGAGGAAGAAAGTAATTAACATCTATCAGTCTGGAAAAGGTTATAAAGCCATTTCCAAAGCTTTGGGAATCCAGCGAACCACAGTGAGAGCCATTATCCAAAAATGGCGACGACATGGAACAGTGGTGAACCTTCCCAGGAGTGGCCGGCCGCCCAAAATTACCCCAAGAGCGCAGCGACGACTCATCCAAGAGGTC